AGTGTGGCAGGGACGCCGCTGCCGCTGCCGCTGCGGAGCTCGAGCGCGATGGGTGACAGCGCACTCTTTGCCTCGTGTGCGTCGCTGCCGAGCGTGCACACTGCGAGCGAGCAGGCCGTGGGCAACGCCGCCGGCCACGGGGTGCTAAACGCTGTAGAGACCAGTGACACCCAACAACAACAACAGCGACAGAAGCGGAAGCCGCTTCAAAAACAAAAACAGGGCCAACAACAACAACAGGATACACAGGAACGGCGTACACCGACACCAAGACCAAAGAAGCCAGCATCTCCCGTACCCCGTTTGCCTGGTTTTTCGACACCGCGCTCAACAGCATCTAGCTCGCTGATGCCGAATGTATCGCCTTCTACAACCCGCCCCGCCCCGTCTGCTACACCATCATCGTTGTACGCTGGCAAGCGAGGCACGTCAGCAGACCCTGTGGCTCCTGAGAGCAGGCGGGGGCCCGAGAGCACAAGCGATGCACAAAATGTGCTTCTTCGGAGCTTGTCGAGTAGCGCCGTACCTGCCATTGCAACAAGGAGATCATCGTCGCTCAGGGATAGTTATTCGCGCAGCGAATCGGCCTCCTCTAAGGTGTTGCGGACACAGAACAAAGTCGCCAGCTCGAACAACGTCGTGAACAGTGAAGAGGCACAGGATTATGGCGTGCAGATGGCGCAGGTGCTGGATCTTGGTCAGCAGCAGCAGCAGCAGCCCCAAAAGAAGGAAACACATGCTGATTCAGACACGCAAAAAAATTCTGACGGTTCCATATCGCTTAATAAAGAGGAAAAGGTGGGGAATGAGAGGCATGTCAATGTGGTGGAGCCGCCTGAGGCGCAAGGTGCGAGAGACAGGGCAGCTGCGCTATATTCTATGGCGGCATGGAGTTCCTCTTCTTCTTCTATGCACTCGAGCGAGATGAGCAGTGTGACCGAGATGGAAATTCAGGGGTATTTCGGGGCATGCGAGATTGAAGTGCAACAAAAGGATGATGATGCTTATGATGGCAAGGAAAAAGAGGAACAACAACAGATATGCGAAGCTTTGCTGAATGACGATGCAAGGTTGATGCCGGATGGACAAGAGCCACAATACACTGACCAGGAGAAAGTACATCCGCATTGTTATAAAGAAGCGCAACCGAGACAGGATCAGCAGGAGTGGAGTGAGCAGGGTACCCACGAGGAGAAGACGGGAGAAGGAAAGCCGGAGGTGACAACTCTTCTACAGGACGCCCGCGGCCTTCTGGTGGGTGGAGCCCCCACGAATGGCGCGAACGGGAGGAATGCGTCCGATGGTGTCACCTCCACTATCGTCATCACCAACACAGCAAAAAGAAGAGGAAGGAGGAGCACTACTAGCAGTATTAGTAGCAGTATTAGTAGCAGTAGGTGCAGCAGTATGAGTCCCGACGTTTTGGGCGATGCTCGCAGTGATGGAGTGGAGACCGATAACAAGAACAACGGTAGCGACAAGCGTCTTGTTGTTGCGTAGCGATAACTTCCGTACTTCTGCCTGCTGCAGCAGCTGCTTCTGCTGCTCTCCCACGTTGCTGTCTTTCCAATAGATTTTTCTCCTGTTTATTGAGCTCATTCATTAAAAAAAACAACAGAAGAATACACTACCCGTGCTCGCTGGAAAAATTCCTTTCCGGCTTTCTTCAGCCTTTGTTGAATACTGTTTTTTTTGTTCCTTGTTGCGTTTCGCCGCAACACAATACCTCTCAACATGAGGGCTCCACGGCTCATTATGTCGATATATATATATATATATTATATTATATACATATATAATATCCCAGCGCCGCACTATGGCACCGCGTCGCTAGTGGGATAGCGAAAACAACAAAACAGCAGCAGCGACAGCCACGGGGGTGAGAAAGTAAATAGTTTTTTTTGCGATATGTCATTTTCTCTTCGAAACCGTATACTCCAATACGAACAACGGTGCCATACAAGCACATGAGGGAGAGAGATGGTATGTGCGTCTGGCAAGAAGAAAAAAAAAAGAAGGAAAAGAGAAACAGGCGGCGGGTGGTGGTGATGGTATGTATGTCTCGGTTCCGCGAGGGGAATATATTTCCACGCGCAGACACCATGCGGTTTTGGGGGGAGGGGCAGGAGTCAGTGGGTGCGTCTGCGTGAAAGACGTACTCCTGATCAGAGAACGTCGCTTTCCGCACAACAACAACAACAACAAACAAACAAACAAATAAAAAAAAGTGACAGCACCCCTGACATGTATCTTTATAAGATTATAAATGTGCCTTTGCGTCCTTTTTAAATTGTGCCTCGGAAATAAAGGCGCTGCAGCTTCTTGTTGCTATTGTTGCTGCTATATGTTATGATTGTTGCTGATGTTTCCGCTGTATCTACTGATAGAGGTGTGTTGCACATTGCACCTTCTTACTCGAATATCAGAGGAATGAAAGCCATTAAAGAAACACGTCGTGTGATTTGTACCCCTTATCTTTTACTGCCACTGCCACTTGCCGTACCACTCTCTGTTTCCTTCATTCCCACGCCTCGACACACACACACACACACATACACGCACATACACGGTTTTACATACGTGCATATGCAGTGGTCTGCAGTTACTGGTGCTTGGTGAGGGGACCTATGGGCCCTATCTCATTGTGCTTCTCCTGTTCTCCTTTACCTCGCATTCTCCTGTAGTAGGCCAGCGCGCATTGTGTGTGTGTGTGTGTGTGTTTGGGACTAGGGATGGGGACGCGCGCCAGCAGTGAAGCAGCAACAGCAGTAGATGCCGGCGCAGACGTGGACGCCGCCTTCATACGGCAGAAGCAGCAGGAGGAGGCCGCGGAGAAGCGCCGTCGGTACGCGCGCTTAACCTCTGCAGCCGTGCAGCAGAAGCGCGACAACTCGAAGAACGTCATTGAGGAGATCTATGAGGAAGACTTCGGCACCATTGACCACCTGCAGGCGCTGCGCTTTCCGCCGATGGTGGTGAAGGAGCTGAAGGACGCCGTCGCCAACGAAGCTGAGCGACAGTGCGCCGAGATGGAGAAGACGATGGCGCGCTGTTTGCAGGACAAAATGTGGACAACGTGGAAGTGCCAGAAGGAGCGCGACCGCTACTACACATGCGTCGCCGACAGGCGCGAAGACAACGAGCGGCTCATGGCGTACCGCTGGAAATACAACTTGGGGACATTTCACGGGGAGATTATCGCGCGCAACAACATGATGCGGCGCGTCTGGCACGAGCACTTCCCGGAGCGTGAGCTGCCACACCCGTGGGTGAAGGATCAGTGAGAGGGCTGTGCATGCATTCAGGCACACCCACATTCTCTATCTCCCACACCCGCACACGGCGATGCATACACACACACACACACACACACACACACACACGCATACACATTCACATGGGTCTGTGTGTATGCGTCGCTGTGTGCGGGTGGTGTGTGTGTGTGCGCTTGCATAAGCTTCTGGAGGACAGTACTGGTGGCGAATAGGCAGCGATAGCGTTAGCAGGGGCCTCAGCGTCTGTGAGCGCGGGTGGCGGCGCGCTTCTTGAGGATTCTTGTTGGCCTTCATTTTTATGTCGTTGTTTTTTATTTGTTTGTTTGAGGCAGTGCCTATACTGTTTTTGCCCATTTTGTTTTCTTCTTCCAAATTCGTTTGGTTTTTTTTTTTGATTTCTTCTTTCTTTCGCCCTTGTGTGTGTGCGCGTGTGCTGCTCGGCACGAGGGACGGAGTGCGGCGGCCCTGGTACGGCGAACTGCGCACAGGGTGAGGAATACGCTGAGAGAAGGAGAGGGATAGGAAGAAAGAAGACACTTCCATCTTCACTCTGGACGCGTGTAAGACACAAGACAAAGGTACTGCGGCACGAGTTATGATTCAAGTTGTGGCGCCGTCCGGCCCGTTGCAGGAGATGCTGCTGCTGGAGCTGCAGGGCAAGGTGGCCATCCCGCCGAAGCTCTTGGAAGAAGCCCGCGAGAAGCAGCAGCAGCAGCAGCAGCAGCAACCAGTTGGTGCCGTCAAGAGCTCCTGCAATGCTGTTGCCGGCGAGGAGGTGGCGGCGGTGGAGGTACCACTCGGCCGCATCGAGGGCGACTCGCGCAACGAGAAACGCTGCTCGCTGCGCATCGGCACACTGATGGTGGACGGAAGCCGTGGAAAGTTGAGAGAGCCGCTCCTCGTACTGAAGCAGCGCGAGCGGCAGCAATCAGAACAACAGCAGGGTCAGGGCCAGGAACATGGCGTGCAGAAGCGCCCCTCATCGTCGCGGTGCTGTCTGCTGCAGGAGTGGCTCGACGAGCACCCGGAGGAGCTCACATTGGGGGCCGCATGCGCCGCCGCCGCTGAGGACAAGGCTGGACCGATGAAAGTGTACGAGGTGGTGGGCGTTATCGAGCGCTATGTTCACCTAAACTCAAAGCCAATGCGTACACTTTCGTGATTGGAGAAGCGGCGTCTGTTCCCTCGGCGTCAGAGAGGGCGGGGATGGGTGTGGGCGCGCACGAGAGGGAGAGGAGATAGGAAATCAAAGAGAACAATGCACTGCTCCTCCGGCCTCTCCAAGCTTGTCTCAAAACGTGAGGAGAGCAACGCCTCTGGCTGCCTCTGTGCCAGTGTTGATGCCTTTGACTGTGCGTACCCCGTGATCCTGTTGTACTTGCCGCAAGTGTGGCTGAAGGCAGCAGTGCGCAGTTGATCCTGTGGCGTAGAGGTTTATATCTCTGTGTGTGTGTGTGTTTCCTTACTGCTTCTGGTGCTGCTGCACGTGTATTCTTGTGGCTTGCGATGACCTTGATGATGTGCACCGCGTATACTTGCACAGTCAATGCTGAGGACGGCTCCATGCCTTCCTCCCCCCTTTCTGATGCCACCGACCGCAAAAGCGGCAGCCGAAAGAACAAGGAGGGTGGCCCGCGAGTTCTCGACGCTCGGATCGCACATCAGTTGTCTTCGTTTGGCGCGCGCATGCCAGTTTTCCATTGAGCCGCTTTGACCACTGCCGCTGATGGTGAAACAGACGTGCCTCCACACACCCACACACACGCATACACATACACATCGAAAGGGAGATGTGGGTCAGAAGCAGTGCGTCGTATCAGCTTTGTTGTGTGCTACCGCTATTCTCTTGGATGCTACATGATGTGCTCTCCTATTGTATGCGGACCGACGCTCGGTCTCTTCGCACTTCTTCTGCATTCATCACTGCTCGGCGCATTGTACTTTCTTGTTTTCATTTCCTCTTGTGCGCTCTTCACACTTTCACATTTCAGCCGTGCCGCAGCATTCACACAGGTGAGGTAGGCTGTGCGTGTGCGTGTACGTGCGTGTGTGCGTATCTGTGTGTGACCGCATCCCCGTCTCGTGCGCGGTTGGTAGATCACAAAGCAACGAGTGAGGGAGCAGAACAAGAAAAAAAAAATAATAGGCCACAGTAGTAGAATAGGGAAGCCAAAGGGCGGAGAGTAAGGCAGTATCATTCTTATCACAGAGGAAAGGGAAAACCGGGGGGAGAGGGGCGTGGGCGGCAGAATAGCAACGAAAGAAGAAAACCACTGGCACCGAAAACAAACAGAAGCAGTGACACCATTAGTAGTAGCTGCGGTTTTCGCTTCGTATCTAGTGTAGTGGGACAGCCGTAATAGATAGAGTGGGTACTCCGCATCCGCATGCGATCCTCGTCGCGGTTGGCACAGGCGACGTCCTCCGCCGCAGCGCTGGGCGTCGGTGTGCCGAAGGCCTCGCAGTCGTCGCCCGCGCAG